CCTCATCTCTCTTTCCAAGACGGGTGATTTGTTTTACCCTCAACCCATCTTCAGCAATGTCGAGAAGTCTGTCGATCCGACTTTGCAGAAACTCCTCATCGTGATTATAGCGAGTCTGTGCATTTGCATCCGGTGACTCAGGGTCGTGAAATATCATAGGTTGCAACGCCTCTGATCGTTGGCGCTTGCTGTCTTTCCCTTTCCTTGCACTTTCCACTGGTCTTCATCAACCACGCTGTCGCACGGAGGAACGATAGTGCTTTTAGGACGCAACACGGACACACCAGCTGAGCCTCCAGAAATGGATGGACATGGTTCCGGAGAGCTAGCAGCCGGCGCGCAGGTGGGATCGTTCGGACATAAGAGTGGCTCAGTTTCCGATTGAATGTTTCGCCTGTTTGATGGAAGCTTACTGATCCGTCCCAGCAGCTCACAAGTCAGATAGTCTAATCCTCCATCCGGAAAGACATCAGACCATCGTTTCACCCTGTTGGGGTGAAATCGTGGAGCTTGAAATGTCAATGCGTCATGCATGTTCGGTATGTTCATGTGATGAAAACTGCTCGTGCATCTGCGGAAATTAGAGACTGGTGAGCAGTTATTGGCATGGTCAGAGGCGATTTTACGAATGGTCCAGGCACAGTTTACCGTCGGAAGGCTTCATTACAGTGTCAGCATTTCTATTCTGGGGCTCACCTCGGAAGCTCTGCACCAATATCCTACCGACTTCTAACCGTTTCATCAGGTACGTGAACTGTATCTGGTAATCCACACAAGTGAATGGATCGGGTGGTTTATCGCACGTTAACGAAATGTTCCTACGATATTCGAAGTACTACACTAACAGATGCATTGCTAGAGAGTGGTCTAACGCTTTCCTGCATGTGTGATGGCTGTCTGGCTGAGTCCGGTTTCGACAAATCTTCCCAAAATGGTGCAGTGCCAATCGTTTCGGTTCAGTCAGACACTTCAGAATAGGGGTCTGGATGTCTCCCAAAAGTCTGTTACCGGTTATACTTGTTTGATGCCCACGGGGGCCACGAGCGTAGGGACAGCACGTGATGACCTTATAATCCTAATTTAAGACGACCGGCCAACTAAGGAAGAAAACACTTCAGTAAACCACTGAATGGGGAAGATTTAAATAGAACCCATGGTTCAACTTATATACTGGCGTTTCCATTTGCACTTGGTAGGAACGTTTAGCCAAGTACAGAGTAAAAGTCCACTCGAGGTGGAAGATCTTCCCATCGATATCCAAATGTGCTTCCTGACAGTCGACTTTTCATTTACAGTTTGGAAAGATGGGCTGAGGGACTACTCGAGAACAATAAAATTCCGTTGCTTTCTATTTGCACACAATTTTACCACCCTGTATTCTAATTTTCCACTGTTGCTCGTTGGATTCTTTTACTCCCTTTGGAAACAATCTATCAAACAGTTTTCCGACGAAGTGGTCATAATCTTGTCCAATTTCAGGTACTTCTGAAGTTTGGCATGGAATGATATCGTCACACTGACACATGGTTTGTGTGTTTACATGAGAGGAACTTGGAGCATTGTTTGTCTGTGATACAACTGTTGCGCAACATTTGTTGCGAATTCCTTCGCAGAGGATTGTGTTGCATTTTTGATACAGACAAAACTCAGTTTGTCCTCTAGCGTATCAAATTGTGTGGGAACATTGAGCGCTATTCCATTCGTCGCAATCTAAGGACGCTGAGTTGAATTTCTTGCCATTAACAAGTTTTCTGTGGCTTTCCTGTCACTCCGCGTTCTGCCGTGAATGATGTGGCCTTATTTAATGCTAAGGGGGACGGTGATTTTAGAAAGCATTGGTTAACAGGGATCGTATGGATTTTGTTGGGTATTACATTAACCACTAACTACCTGGCTCACGTTAGTTACCAAGGTGCCTATTCCGAGCTATGGTAGTGGGATGAATTTTTTAATCCAAGATCGTGTGCACAAGAGTGTTCAGGGATGAAGCAGTCGTAATACACGATGATCGTTTTATTAACCGAGAGTCTCAGCACTCACTAAATGTCCTGATTAGGCTTTCATGTGTCATCTCGTCCAAACTCACAGACAAATTACATATTTCCTGTTTACTAGAATGGCTGGCCATGTTTGATGGATATAGTGGCACTGATGAGGTGGAACGGCAACCTTGGGGTGGAGGGGAAGGGGGCCGAATGCGCCACCAGAGACCGGGTAATCCCACTGAGGGAGTCTCGCTGATTGCTGCTTGAGCGCTCGGCTTATTCATCTCCACCAGTAGCCGCGCTTTCAACCGCGTTGTACAACTCAGGTGCTACTTTGACTGGATCCCTGTAGCGCATTTGGTTTTCCTCCGCTCTCCTTTGAGGCATCTATTCAGTTATAAATCGGGTTGTCAACTAGCGTCATATTCACACAAAGTAGCGACCAGTATTACACCAAATGAGCCACTATTTCCCTATATTTATCGATCCAGTGACGTTATGCTTTACAGGACTCTGCCCGATGGTTTCGACCTCCAACTAAAGACCCGTTATTCTGTCGCTGATTGCGGTAGCCTAGTGCTTGGTCGTCAGGATAATTGGAATTTTCATAACACAAAGAGTGTAACCCTATCCTTTTAAAGCATGATACTCCATTATACCACTTGGTTGTTCGTCTCTGAATTTGTTTTTTATGTGATCCGCCCCACTTGGCCACCAAAATGCGCTGTCATGTGGCCCGTGCCACTTTTCTTGATCAAACGGCATTCCCTTGCTTCCCATTTAATACATCTAGCAGTTTACCTGGTATTTTGCACCCGGACAGGTGGTCATTGTCGCCAGTCCTTTCTCATTTGATTTTTACTATGTGGTAGGAGCTAGGCGCATTTTCGTCAGCAACGTCGGCGCGGTGTTCGACCGTTCATTAGCAGGAGCTGTGGTAAAAATAGGTCCAGTTTATTTAGAAGCACAAGTGTGAAGTATCCAATCGCACTGATTTACGATACATCAGTTGTGATAAACTTAGAATTGAAGGGGCATGAACAGGACATGTAAGGGAATACAATCAAAAAGGTCGGAGGTAACAGGTCCTTGATAGGACTCGAATTAGAAAGTTACCAGCTAGACGCGAGGGTTTGAAAGCAAAGCGTTGTATCGCATTAGGTCTCTAACCATTGGTGTAGTCTACCTCGATAGGCACCTCCAGGAAAATGTCACACAACTGTAAGGCAATTTTTCGCCCATTGTAGTTCCCGCATATTGGTGCAGCATAAGTTAGTCGGTTAACAAGCACACAAAAGACAGACTAATCAACCTAGACGGTTCCAGTTTAACAGACACCCCAGTTCGGCACTCGAGAATCTGTTATCAAACACCGACTAGCGGATGTAGGTATTGCTAGCCCGTAATCCCATCAGATACGAGCTACCCACTGAAGCCATCTGCTTTCACTAACAGCCACTCTTAGCGTCTCCAATACGCAGCGGCCATGTTCCGGTCTATTCGGTAACACTTGCCTTACCCCAGCGTTATAAGCCCTACTCTGGTGTTAAGGCTGACGGCGATACAACCATTGGTTGCGGAGACGGATCAACCTCTTAGTCCGTTAGTGTTGGTTAGAGCCGGCAGCATGTTGACACGGTTCTATAGTTGTTCTTTTTAACTTGAAGGTGCGAAACGCATCTTGAACCGCGCATTCTTCTACTTCTACGAGCTGAGTTCGACTCCGAGGAAGCTGCATCGTCCATTCTGCCTAACATTATTGCTCCGTCACTTCACAGAACCTGAATTGTCTTAGCAACCTAAAGAACAGCGTCATTTATACTTATTTTAATCGCAAAGTTTGTAGGAAGAAGTGGAACACAAGGCTGTCTTAATGCATCTCGCTTACCTTAAGGAACGCAAGTGATTGCTTCCCATAGCTTTTATGGGTTTCAGAAGGTGTACCCTATCAATTTCATAGCAGAACAGGGTTATTTCGACACAGCCCAAGAATTTACAGTGTCACGGATCGGCTCGATCAACTTCATTAAAACTAACCGTCGAATCGATGAAGGTTATTTCAATGGATCGTCTCTGTGTACCACTGTTCCAGCACAAGGAAATCTAAACATGTTATCAGTGCTTTCCCTACCAGAACTGTGACCAGTTCGGCTTCCATTGGTCTGTTTATCCCGACTACCAACAAGATACAACGGTATTGGTGCATCTGGGCAGTTCCGAGACAAAGGTGTATGGTATACAGCGTTGTATCTTCTTTTAAATGATAGGAGCAATTACTGATAACTGTCCCTATAGCGTTGAATAGGGTGACAAGACCAACAGCCAGTCCCCCTCTTTCTTTTATAACAACGTATTAAGTTCATCTGATTCAAATGTCTAGTTCTGCCTCGGCGAGTTCTCGTCGCGTTTGTTCGATGGTGTGAGGCGTGATGTCAGGGTCGCATGCGGGTCGCATGCAGACAATGATGATGCAGCAAGCCTTCTGAGCTACTCCTTAAGGTCCTCCCACTAAGGCTCCTCATTAATGCTATGATCATGGCACATTATGGACTGGATGACCCTGGTCAACCGTATCCCGAATGTACCGACCCCTAGGTGGCATTTGGTGTACCCGCTGTGTGGTTGGATTGCGACTCGCAATCTCTATTCAGACCTCGGTCCTGAAGTAGACCTTGGTCAATACGATCGCAAGGACCGTAACCGAATTGGTGGTTAGTTGTTGCTCCTCCCAACCCTGACACCCCATAACCGGTTTCGTCCTCCTTTGGACCAGTACCGACCCCTACCTATTTCCTCGTTATTTCCCCTTTACATATCGGCTTCCAGACTGAAACACTTGCTTAGAACACTAGGTTTTAGCATCTCTACAACTGTAAGAGGCGGACTTTTGTCCCAACCAGCGTACGATTTATCGAAGCCAGTTTTTGTCACCTTATTTGCCAACTTTTCTCACGTTTTTTGTCTCTGCTTCTTAATTCACTTATCTTTCTTATCATTCATGTCCCCGTCAAACAGACACTCTAGAGACGATGGAGGAATTACGTGAGAAGCGCATTATCCGCATCTTAACCAATGATTTTCCACAGTACTTGGCCGTGGTAAGCCGCCTACGTCAGGAGACTGCCATGGTTGGATCAGACGGCGGCGTGCTCAGCTCCACCGTCGTTCCACAGGTGCAGGCTGTCTTTCCCGAAGGTGCCTTGCAAAAGCGTATTCGCGTTGGTCTACAGGTGAGAGAGTTCATGGGACGCCACACTTATTCGAACACGGACTTCCAATCGAGAGTTCTCTTTTTAACCTCTGCTTTACCCTTGTTACTAACGATGGTTTTCTTAATGTTGGATGCCATGTGGCCTACTCAAATTTTACGGAAACGGTTCATTCTGTCATACACGTTCCCTGCTGAAGGTGTTCGCTATGTTTACTCGTTAGACTATATATCCAGCGTTATCATTCCTGTTTACATACGCTCCCTTATCGATCGGATCAATGCTGCTTTTGGATATAATTCCTGTTCCGTTGTACAACTCGATACAATAGTATAGAAACTCTCACCGGAGCGAAGAAGCACTCATTGCTGATGCGCTTACAAAGAGCGCAACGACTGTCCAAGTTATTAACTTGAGTTGTAATAAATCCCATTTGCGCCCGCTGCTTCTCACTTTGCCGCTCGCTCGCTTATCGGGTACACGAACGACTCATTGTTTCCATTCCCCTCCGCGTCTTTTGTCACATGGTGATGGACAGTTCTTGCGTGACCCTCTCACACGCCCACAACGTACTGCATTCACCCACTCTCACCACTGCGTTTCACTATTTGCCTTCATTTTCAGCCGTCTTGACGTCCATCGCACTTGTCCATTGCACCGGTACATGCTCACCAATCCGTTCAGTCCCCTGTGTCATGGTGTTGCACTTCTTTCTAAAAACCTGTCATACCACTATCCAACTTTGCGTATCTGACATTCGACAAAAGTGTGGAAGGAAATGCACGTCGCGATTTACTCAATATGTGCTCATAATTTTCACCCATTACTTCACCTAGAACAGTTGTGATAGCCATAGTTCCTTGGTAGCGTCCCGCCAACCTGCCAGCTGAAAGGCCGATTAGGGAATGCTTTTAGTGTGCAGACGCATACAACATGTGGCCAGTAACCTATTGTACGAATTACCGTGATCCACATATGTTCGCTTTAACTTACCATTTCTCGGACTTCATATTTTGCTGGTTGCTTTCCATTTTCGACCGTAATTTCCAAATGTAACCTATCGGAAAGCAGCATATAAGCTTATTCAGTCAACCAATACACGCAAACTGAGGGTTAGCAACACGCTTTAGCTACTGTGCCACAATACAACTTTACACTACAGATAATACAAAAGCAACTAACATGATGTTAAATATTATACCCTGCATCTCGCATGAGATCGTAATTGGAGGGGGAATTTAAGGGACGATGGACAAAGAAATTCCCACTACAGATGCCATTGGGGCCGGCTCTTCGCCGCATCAGCAAGTGTGTCCGACCAAATGTGTTCATTGTCCTTGGGATCCCAGTCAGGCAGTCAGGATGTACCAACCGACGCCATGTTCGAAGTGAGGATTTTTACTTCTCTCGACCAAGTCCTCACTTGGTCTCCCCATCCAACACACCCCCGGCGCGCAAACAACGCACGCCGCGGGAGTCGGTGTGCTGGCATGTGCAACACGTGGCCCAGCCATCGGAACCGAGCTCTTCCTGCACCAAATACGCGACGCCGAACACATGCCTTTCTCACGCGGTGCTCCCACCAGACATGAGCTAAGATGCGATGGCAGCGATGATCGAACGTGACTAGCCTCTTTATGTCTGTAGACCTGATGGGCCAGGTTTCACAACCGTATAAGAGGATTGAACGTACGGCTGCATTATAAACTCTGCCCCTAACGGCTAGTGATGTCGGGTCGGCGTCACAGGTGACGGATATTGGCAAAAGCACCTCGATCTTTTGTTATACGCTTCTTAAGCTCATCTTAGATCCCGTGGGCGCTAAAATAGCTGCCTAGTTATTTGCATTCCTGGTCGACTTCTAGCTGCTCACTACCAAGGGTCACCGCAGGGGTGGGTCCCTGCCAATCTTCTAGAAGCCTTTTGTGTTTCGTGGAGCAAAGCATAGCCCAAAACGATTGTAAGCCAGTGCAAATCGGTCCAGTGCTGCTTGGCACGTTTGGGAACTGTCACGGGTGAGGGCAATGTCGTCCGCATGCTCCAAGTCAAGAAGTCGCTCGCCGGGAAATAGCTACCCACCTTCTAGGTCGTGTCCAGCGAACACTACTTCCATAACTTCATCAATGGAAGTTAAAGAGGAAAGGCGACAGCAGGCAACCTTGTCTCACACCGCTGGAGATATTGAAAGGCAGCGACAGTTTGTCACAAACCCTCACTCTGACCGAACTGTGTACACACATTGCTCTGATAATGTTTACGTATTTACCGGGCACACCTTTCCTCAGCAGACAGTCCCAAATGGCACATCAATCCAACGAATCGAAGGTACCTTTGATGTCGAGGAACATGACAACGGTGGGTTGCCAATAAACATGGCGGTGCTCCAACAATTGACACAAGGTGAAGATGTGGTCGATGCAACCCCGACCTGGACGAAACCCGGCTTGCTCTTCATGAATCTGGCTCTCACGATTGCCAGTCAGTCTATGGCAAATGACAGACGCAAGCAATTTAGAGGCAACTGAAATCAGACTGATCTCTCTATGATTACCGCATTCAGAATGGGTGCCTCACTTGAAAATTGGGACTATGACGGAGTGGTTCCAGTCTGTTGGGATATTTTCTTGCTCCCAAAGTTTCACTGGTAGCTCGTGTGAATCATCTGCAAGAGCAGGTCCCCGAATTTGAAAGAGCTTGGGGACTTCTATCTGCCCCTTCGGCCTTACGCAATTGCAGCAGTCTGATCTCACCTTCGACTTCTGCGGATCCAAAGACACGGCTCAGGTAAAAGGGCACCCAATGCCCGAAAAGAAAGTGATAACTCAGATTGGTTAAACTGCCTTGTAAAGTGTTCGGCCCGACGCTCCCAGCCTTTTGACAAGCTGTGGGTCGGCTACCCACTCTTGTCGCGTGCGGTCTCGCTAACACCAAGTCTGCTGTCCGTTTCCCGTATCAGACGGAACGATTACCAACGGTGGCAGCTGTTTCTATTTCCGATGCACGACGAGACCACCAGACTCCGCGGTATCTCTTCAGGCTAGCACGCAATTTTGCCCTGAGATTTTGGGGAGTCACATTGTATTCGCTTCAAGCCGGAATACGTCGGCGAGCATTTATAAGTTCCAGAGACTGTGTAGAGACCCAATATCCAGATGGGCACTTTGATTTGCCTTATGAAGACATGCCTGCTGATAGTAACGTTTGACGAATATGCAACCAATGATTTTCAACCGTGTTCACTGGACGTTTACTCAGCCCGATTGCCAGCGTACTTTGATACGCATTCAGAACATCTAGCTTCGCCGATTCTCTGGTGTCTGTGCGATCGCAGCGACGTTGCGGACGTCCGCCGAAACGCACCCAATGTTCGGCACCCACAACAGCGTGATCGGAGTCCCTGCTCGTGTTCCAAATCGAGCGACAGTTTTGGACGCAGCCTCTCCAGCGATAACTGACCTTAATATGATTGATTTGCATCCATGGCTGGTCCGAGGCTGGTGGGCGTCAAGTCACTTTTCTGGGGGTGCTGTGTCAAGAGTTAGTGCTCACGAGAAAGAGGCGATCATCTTCAGATGTAGTAACCGCTCACCGTTATCATTACGGGAGCCTATACAATGTTGGCCGCCCAGATGCAGCTCATCAATGAACTATTTTCCAACTTGGGGGTTTAGATCACCAGCAAGCACCACAGTATCTGTGCTTCTTCTGTAACGAAGAATATCGTTAGGTTGGTTATAGAAATCATCTTTCACCGCATCAATGCTGCAGTTTGTGGGTATGTAGGCCGCAATGCCAAACAGGCAACGTTTGTTCCCGGGCAACTTCGAAGCTTGGAACGATCCTATTAGGTTAATTGCAACCTTAGACACACGTTTCTTTCGCTTTGTCAGCAGTTTACTCATCAGAAACATCTGTTTGTGTCATTTTTCTTTAAATGCCAAAGAGCGCTATATTGCTCTAACACGTGAACTTGTGCTATTATGGTTATACACCTCTTGGACCACATCACATGTAGCAGTTTCATCAGCTACCATAAAATTATTTTTTAGTGAAATCCGGAGCGTTATGATGCGCCTACTTTGAATTTTCCTGCGGCATTTTCGCGGAACGCCACCCTGTCCGATGGATATCTGGCAAATTCTGACTGTTCAACGAAATTCACTCAAGCTTATAGTTGTCCTTTACACAAATCTGATTTAGGAGGTCTCGGTGCAGCATTGTTCTTGAACGAACCAAGTTTTGGTATGCGGTTTACAGTCCGCCATTTCCTGCCGAAATTTCGATCCCCCTAATTTTACTAGAGAATTTAACGCACGCGTTTACTCCATCGTTGTGGAAAGTACACACCTGATATCGCAGGGAATGCTTGCCATCGGACATTAGCTGCTTTGGATCTTTCGTGCTGTAAAGTGAATCATAACAGTTACCTTTGAATGGGGAGTGGGGTGGATTGCTGAAGAGTCGGCGAACGCGCACGGTATCTCTAGCCCTCTTCTTCCATGGATATGTGATGTTATCATTGAACTGCTGTTGGGCTGCAATAGCAACTTCTTTCTATCCTTCCTGAACTTCGAACCCACCGGATAATCAGAGAAGCAAGATGTCTGTCTTTGTGTGTGCATGCGAGTAGGCAGTCATTAGTCTTCATTCTAACTGCGAGGTCTTTGCAATCTTCGTCACATTTCCATTATTAAGGCCTGTAAACCTTTCTTATCTCTAGCCACCCCACTTTTTTGGCCATCGGAGAAGCGTGGGTTGTGATCCAGACTGTCAGTTGTTGAATCAGGCTTAGTCACTAAGATACCTTTACCACCCCTATGTGTTGTCACGGCAACCGTTCCATTTAACCTTCAGCGAATGAAACCAGAATAGCACATATGGCATGCGTGTAGTTTCTCCTTCACACTGTGTTCTCTTCGTGGCTACTGAATGAGACATAATCTTTGCAACTTGTGTTCAACTGACAATTCCTCCTCTCTCCCACTGCGAGCACTAATGCTGGATCTGTTTCCTTAGCGCTCCTATCTCGCTCAGACAGAAATGGGGCCTGACGAATTGCAACATTCAGGTTTATTTGTTCACACCTATTCTTTCCATTGACAGTCTGAGCATCACCGAAGTATTTTCTAGGAGCAAAATGTATAATTGATCAGATAGCGAAGGGAATGCAACCGTAGCACGAGCTCACCGACGATCAAACCCGGACGTATTTAGGTGTCTGGTTAGGAATTCAGCGCATTCTCAACTAGCCGAATGACACTTGGCTTCGGAATCCGAAAGTCCACGGGTTCGAACTTGCGCAGGTACACTGGTCATGCAGTATCCAATTCCACATGCAGCTGATGATGTTTGCGTGGTAGCATAGCGATTGTACTATGTTCTCCAGCACCACTGACATCTAACTAACCCACAATCTCGCCTTTGTATGAATTCTCCCATGCTGTATCCACATACTTACGTGTCTGCCCTGGACAGTGAGGAGCGCAATGCCCAATAACTTTACACCGAAACCGCACGCGAATGAAGACCTTTCGTTAACCAGAATGCTTCAGACGCTTCATTTACTTACTTTTATCCAGCTCACATAGACCCAGCGATAAGCGGTGCCAATTGGGGCACATTCTCTATAATAGTTGGTAATTGTCATTAGCCACTCTTCCAGCTTCTACCGCGTATCCCAGCTGCGATCGACTTAACTGCTTCTTTTAGGTCGAACTCTTTGCTGCTTGTTTCAAAAGCAGCGTCTTTCTTCGTGTCTCATATTTTGCCCCCACTTTGCTCTATCATCTTCATAATTTCTACTAATGAAGTTTATGCTTTCTTCTACTCTGTTCACCTAGACATCATTTTTTTGTCACAGACTCATGCATGTCAGTCTTTTCGCATCTCGGTTTTACCACAGGCTCATCCGATTCCAACCGAACTGGTCTCTCGCCTATTGGGTAATCGTGTGGCCGTGTCTCCGATCGTGACACTGGAGCCAAGGCGCCGCAAGTTTCACAAACCAATCACTCTGACCATACCGCTTCCCAAGACTGCAATGCGAGGTATGCTCAACCCGACCACCACCGATTCCAAGACACCCAGTGCGCCCAGCCTTCGACTGCTGTGTAGCATAACAGGCGGTACACTGCCGGCTCAATGGGAGGATATTACTGGCTCCACTCCTCTATCAAAGGTCAAAGATTGCGTTTCATTTACCACCACAGTGTCAGCCAGGTAAGCAGCTGGCTATTTGCACGTAATTTTCGTACCGTCCCTCTTTCACTCGACGGTGGGAATGAGGTTTCAAGTCTTCCAGATTGAGGTCCACAGACCCACCTCTTGCTTAGCTGTCAACGTTACAGAACATGGCACATAAACCGGTACTAGTGCTATGCTTGCTACCAGCTGGAGCACCTGGTTGACGCGTGCATGATGCCGACTTAGCTATGGTTAAGATTGATTGTTACGCGGGGATTAGGAACCCCTCGTAAACTGCCTCGATGACGCCGTCTCATTTTCCGATAATCGTTAATGGTTTTCCTCGGGCGATGTTCTGAAGGTGTAAGTGTCTTCACCGTGGATGTTTTCTGGGGCCATTTAGGTTCTACTATCACGATGGTTATTGATTTCCATTCGTTGGGAACTTTCACATGGTTCATTGCTGTATGAGAACCATGCACCATTGCACGGTATTTGTACATTGCTGTTGTTGATACAGCTGATACCCGTTGCTCATAACCCCAACGTTTTTATAGCCTCATGGGGGTCAGACTAGCCGCTTTTCCAATCTTTCTCTTAGCACTCGGTTACTACATGTTTCTGATTGTAATCCAGAGCGCAGAGCAAGTAACAAAAATTGTGAACCCAACCAAACTAGTCTGTTACCGTGTCATTTACTTGTAGACCTCGCTCAGTTCGAGTCGTCGGGTTGTTAGACACAATCACTGCGGCGATTGTAGACTATTACTCTCTAGCGTTCACATAGTGACTTTCTTCGAAGGCCTGTACGCCAATCCGCTTTTTCTACATGTGTAGCAATACACCGCACAGGTACAGTTCACTCATGTGAAACAGTCGGTGCTGGCTAGTGATCTAGAGGATAGGGCGTCTGGCTTGTACTGCACAGGTCGACATCTCGATCCTGCTTAGGTTCGTGCGATCTCGCAACATTATATATATATATATATATATATATATATATATATATGTATATATATATATGTATATATATATATGTATATATATATATATATATATATATATATATATATAATGGTTGGCAGCATCCGGTTTCGGATTCCTCTGTCACTGTGGCCAGCCACAGGACGCCTGTGCCTACATAGGGACCATAGTTGGCTTGCGTTGCACCACCCACAGTTCCATCCACACACCCCATATCCAGTGTAAACTCGAAGGAAAAATACCGGGAGGCATGTGGATGGGAGCAGCGTTTCATCAACGGAGCCTGTCCACACTCTTTCGCAGGGAAACACATGCACGCTGTGTTTGGGAATCAAGCACACACAAGGCGGTGGCTGGACCGTAGTCCACTCCACACTGAGTACATGGAACCACTCTTCGAGCCTAGTACGGCCACAAGGACCGTGCACCCCGTCCCCTCCAGCAACGACCAGCTGTCTCCTGGAGCCAGTATGGACGAGGTAGTGGGTAATAGACAGGTAGGCACTTTGTCAGCATGCACATCAACCGCATCCACACTTGGGATGTCAAACAGCAATCACATGAAATGAAATAACCATTAAAATGGTCAAAAGCACCATTCGGATATGCCGCTAAATTAGCCTATGCGATAAATGGATCCTTAAACTAGCCGTGATAGATTCAGGATGGTTGAAAAAGGGGATAGACACATTTGTAAGAAGTAGAAAAAGTAAGCGAAGTTAACCATCTTTACTTTGAGCGGAATGTGCAACTTATTCAGGTACACATTAATATGCGGTGAGAAAATAACACTAAGGCAAGATAGCAAATCAACTACCTGAAATAAAGAAACTCAGCAGACAAGCATGCGGTTAGTAAATCGAATGCAGCGTGCCTACCAACACTGCGCCTTTCTGCCTACCTTCTCAGCAGAATTCGTCGTCGTTTCGACGCTGGGCCCGAGTGCCCGCGTTCCTGGCTCACTACACCTGCCTAACTCAAGCATTCGCGGCCACACGTGCTACAGCACCACGCACTCGACGTCGATGGAGTACAGCCCGTCGGCACCTGTCGCTTCCGCACTTGCCGCTTCTTTTCTGCATACACGAAGGCTTTCTGTTGCACTTCGGCAACTGCCTTTGTGATTAGATCACGCCATGCACGCTTATCAACTGCCTTCGATTCCCACGACCTGCAATCAACATTAGAACTTGATTGGCTCACTTTGATCCTGTCCTGGTATCGTAACTTCGGTTTTCACACATGCCGCTTCCCAATGCTCAGCTGACCATATAATAGTTATTCGGTGTCCGCGTCGAATCCATACGGCGAATATGCCCGAGCCACCTCAGGTGCCCCAGCAGAATTATACAGTCCACTGCATACGTGCCACTGCGTCGGAACACCTCCCTGTCTGCAACTCGGTCACCCCAGCCGATGCGTATAATACGGCGCAGATACTGCTGATGGAAGCTCTCCAGATATCTGACATCTTTTCGATAAAGCGTCCGGGTTTCGCTGCCGTATAGAAGAACGGACAGCACCATAGACTTGTATACCAGCAGCTTCGTCCCAACAATGAGCTGGTGGTTGTTCTACACACGGCATTCTAGCCTGCCAAAGGCAACAGCCGCCTTCGATAGGCGGCTGCGCAAGGGCATCGTTCAACTCAGGAGGCATCTCCTCCTCAATCCATACGCGCTGCACCAAGTGGTGCAGCGCAGTCACCAACGCGGGTCTACCGTGTTTCAATACTATAGGCGGGATCCCATCGGCACCGATACACTTGCCATTTCGCAGCTGAGCAAGTGCTATGTGCGTCTCATCCCGTGTCGGCGTGTCCGCCAGGCTCGTCTTCATCTCGTGCTGATTAAGACTGTTCAGTGTAGGCCAGTCAATCTCTAGACGGTTGTTCAAGAGACATTTAAAGTGTTTTTACCAGATCTGCATTATGTCTGCAGTCTGTGTGCAGGTAGCGCCTGAAGTACCATCGATCAACGTCCTCAGCGGCTCCAGCCTCGGTCCGTACACCGCCATCAAGGCGTCAACGAATTCTTTGTGTTGTCAGCGTTCGGCGTAGTATTCCATCTGCTTCGCCTTCTCCGTCCACCATGCATTTTAATGTGACGGAGCTTTCGGGTCTGTCGCGGTCGAATTTTGCGAAACTGACTACTCTTTCCCAAGTCACTAGAGTCTGCCACTTGTGCAGCAAATGCTGTATTCTTCTCCGACACCAATGCGCCAATCGCCGCCTTGTTCTCATCAAACCAATCAGGCCGCTTACAGTTTGCGCGCTCGATGGTCTCCTCGGCAGTAGCTGTCACCTGGTCGCGAATGTGGTGCCACAGGTCACCCACTGTGGCTATGCATTCCACATCACACAGGCGTGCAGCCGTCGACTTTTCCAGCTCAATACGTTTTGCCACAGTATCAAGTGAGAGAATGTTAAAGTTGCGCCGATTCCCAGCGGGAGTGCAAAACATAGAGTTACGAAAATATATGTACACTTTGGTCCGCAGCAATTTGTGATCAGTGTCACACTCAGCTCCACGCAGTGCACGTGTCATGCGCACTTCACGCATATCACGCCGACGTACGATGACATAGTCGAGCAGGTGAGCGTGACCACTCCGTGGGTGCGTCCAAGTTGCTATATCACTCGCACTCAGTGCAAACCGAGTGTTCGCGATCGTCAGGCCGTGAGTGGCGCACAGTGAGAGCAGCCTGTCACCGTTCGCATTCGCTGAACCAATGCTATGCGGACCGATAACATCTGTCCACGCTGATGCATCACGCCCAACACGCGCGTTGAAATCACCCAGCAGAAATAGTCGGTCACTCCTCGGCATAGACTGTATCACGGAGGATAGCCAAGCATAGCATTGATCACGCGTGTCATCAGGATAACACATGGTCGAACCGTACTTGCTTATAGAAGTGGCAAACTTACTTCTTCCGAGTCGTAGGCGAGCGGTCATCGGTCGCGCGCTGATGTCAGTGGGCTCACCCACCAACTGTCCATTGACTCGCCACAAAATAAAGTCACTGGCCCGTGGATATCCGGAAAGTGCTATCCAACCCAAGGACATCAATCGCTTATGCTCACATTCCTGACGATAACAAACAGTCAAAAATGCTGCGGCACATTCAAAAACGCAAGCTACATTCATACACAATTACATACGTATATACACCCATACACTTACATACACTGTTATGCCAAACATGTACATTTGTACATTTTTGATCACACTGTCAGCTAAACATGATCATGCCTGTAAAGGTGTGTCTCGCAAGGTCGAGAATAAAAGAATACTGGCAGGACGCCCACACCTGACAGGAGAACGACTCGGGTCTTCAGCCAAAGCCTTCGATTAAATGTACACCCTAAAGGCAATGGATCTAGGACATGGTCAGCTCACTGACTCATGCGGATAGGTGTCCTGGATCTTAGCAGGGTGAAGTACGTAACCCAACTCCCACCCAGCGGTCGCCACGAGTAGCCGTCCAGGACATGAGCAAATGGCACAACAGTAGCAGCAGTGGGTAGACTATCTGTCATCCTCAGCGCACCATTGGCTCTTCCGCCGGTCTAGATATATTGAACACACCCAACAGTTCATTTGGCAGTGCCACATTGTATGGACAGATATAATAAGACAACAATATTAAGGAAATAGAGCGGGTAAAAAATTGTAAAACTGGAGTCATGGGGGCAGTCTCACAACATGGCCGCCATTGCTCTCGGTTTCTTGACATATCCGATAGGGTTTCTAACCAAGTGTTTTCATGTTTCTTGCGCCCCCGACCGGTGAGCCGAGAGCGCCCAACCGCGGCCGAATGTGAAGACAATGCCTTCATACTTTTGGCCCGTCATTCGCTGGCCACCTTGTCTTTTCTTCCAACCGACTTCTGTGCGCAGAAAGAGTGCACGGTGAGGCAGTGTTCCTAGCCAGCACGCAACTGGTGGGGTGGCCGTGTGAGGTTGAATGCGAGTTGCTGTCCAACTTCTTGGGCTGATCATTTAGTACAACGTCATCTCAAAATGCAGATGTTTTTCAAATGTTCCAGAG